GAGCGGGAAGAAAGTGAGAATGAGGAAGAGGTGGACAGTGCTGCTAGTAAGAAAATATCACATGGTGCTGCTCTTAATCATTTGGAATCCTTACTAGACTATCTCGAGAGTGAAGAGAACAGTTTATTAAGTGACAAGCTAATATTACATAGGCTTCATACGGATATCCGTCAAAAGGAAAATGCCGCGAAAAAGCAAACAACAATATTAAATTTTTTAAGTGTTAAGTGTGAATATTCGTCAAAGTGTTGGATGTTGTTGAACACTGTGATTGAAATAAGTAATTCATACTTCAGCGTAATGTAAAAAAAGTATTAAATATGCCATGAGATGACATAAAAATGAGGTTGAATAAATTTAGATACAGGTAGGCCTATAGTATTATGAAGGTACAGTATTACAGTACTACTTTTAATAACATTTGTGTTAACCAGGTTTTCGATTAATTGTGATTTCCATCCCCACCATTATCCCAGATAATCAAGAGTTGAGTGTATATTCTTTTGCATTCTAAAAATTGTTATACTTTGGGGTGAGTTACCCCAAAAGGGTCAACCATAATTTATAATAGAATTAAGATAAGAGTGATAAACCATTTTTAAGGTATTTATGGACGTATATGGTTTAAGCAATCTTATTATGTAGCAGACTGCACGTAGTTTAGAACTAATATACTCAGTGTGGTATTTCCAGCTCGTTGTGTCATCAGTGAATATTCCAAGAAATTTAATATTGGATATAGATGTAATTAGTTTTTTATCATACACAATTTTTATTTCAGATTTAGGATTTTTATTTCTAGCTGTAACTTGAATGTAGTGGGTTTTATTAAAATTTATAGAAAGTTTGTTTACTTTGAACCATTCATTTATACTATGAAAAGCATTGTTTATATTTACACAGAGATCATCATAGTTTGAACTTTTAACTAACAAACTAGTTAGAAAGAAAACAAAATGTATATTCATTTGTGGACTATAGATGAAGTAAGAGGGGAAAGAAAAAGCCAGAGTTTGTGAAAACAGCAATGTGGACCACTTTGTGCAAGCGGTTTCAACAAAACATGTCGAAGGAGTGCTTCTGATTGGGGGTTTGAAAGCACAGGCAGTAAAATTTTGTAATATAATTGCCTATGATTATACAGTTAAACCTTCTGAAAGACAACTTTGAAGATGGGAAGCTTTATCATCAAACATCTCATACTAGTCTTGAAAGTGAATCTGTGCCTGGAAACAGCAAAGCAACAAAGAACTTTTCTGAAATTATGTAAAGTAATTGTAGATAGTAAGTACAACTACAATGAAACAATGCTATACTACACAATGCTCCTAAACAGTTCACTGTGTCTTAAAACACTGCCAATAAAGGTGTGTAAAGGCTGACAAAAAGAGAGTGATTTCGTTGCTGTGTGTCCTCAAGACTGGCAGTCACTCAGAAACTCCAGCCACATAGAGTCTGCATGAAGAAGAAATCATGGCTTCTCTGATGACTGGAAAGGTAAACAGTGAATGTCCAGACTCAGTGACACAGAGAATGGTAGTGGTGATTACTTTGAAGTAGTGGTGCTGGAATTGAAAAAACAAGGTTATAATGTCACAATTTACTGCATATTAGTCCTGGAAAATGTAATTATCAGGCTTCAGTTTTGGGGAATGAGCAGCAGTATAATTAATAAAATATAAGGTTATATTCAATTCAGTGTGTCTTTTTAGTCATTATGTGTTCATAAGAAAAGTAAACTCGGGTTCCAAAGTGTTAATTTCACTTATAATAGTGGTCTTGAAATTGTCTGTCAAAATCTGATTTATATTGAGGTAATTTATTGTTACAGTTTTCTTTTGTGTTTTTATAAGCTGAAAGAGGAAGACAGATTCAAACCATTGCTGTGAATATACAGTTGGCTAGTTCCATGTTTGTATGCGAATATGTACATATGTACATATAATGAAGCCTGTGTTGTTACCATATTATTGCCCCAGGTTAAGTCTGATTGGAAAGCAAATTTAGACATAGCAGTTGACTATATTTGCATGCAGGTTGATCCAGTTGGAAGTGGCCTCACTGGATGATGTGTACTGGCTGGAAGACTCAAGAGCACGCACACTGCTTGGCAAAGACTTTGTAACATGGTCTGCTGCACGCCAGGCTCTGCCTACATCCAAAGATGACTTGGCCCAGTTAAAAGGAGAGCTGTGGAGTGCTGTGGTCAAGTCGACGCAGCACGAGGACGTATGGACATGGGGTGAGACCTCTCTTGTTCACAAGGGAAAGTTTGAAACTTCCAGTTATGAAGAAATGATACTGAGGTAGCATGAATCGTAGTATTTTAAGGTCATCTATAATCTTTTATGTGTAGACCAACTTTTTTTCCTTTCTCCTTTTCTTCCTTTTATACAGGGCGATGGAAAATTCGCGTGCATCACACTAAGCAATTATATTTTGCTGATTTAATGCACAAACTACAAGACATACAGTACTTACTATTAATGTTTATAACCTTACATCTTAGAAATGCAAAATCAAATAATGTCTTTACAACATATGCTCGAAATGGCTTCCCTGTTCAGCAATGCATGCGCGAGCTATTTTTACCAGGTTTGAGGCTACTTTGTGGGGCACCCATAAACTGATGCTGTTAATCGCTGTCATAATGTTTCTCTTGAGATCATTCAGTGTATGTGGATTGTTTTTATAGACAATTCCTTTGAGGTACCCCCAAAGGAAAAAATCTGTGGGTGACAAATCAGGCGAACGAGGGGGCCACAATCCTTTTGAAATGAGACGGTCACTGAAAAACTCATGCAAGAACTGCATGGTTTAATTAGATGTGGCACTGCCTTGCTGCAACCAACACTCATGTTCATCAACTTAAAGAAGCACAGTAAACTGTGTAATGATGTTTTGGTACACTGGACTGTTCACTATTGTTTCAAAGAAAATTGGGCCCACTGTTCGACACCGTGATACAGCACACCACACTCCAATTGTCTGACAGCACAAGGGCTTTTCATGTAACACATGTGGATTTTCAGATGACCAAATCCTATTGTTTTGACTGTTCATGTAGCCACTAAGTTGAAACCACGCTTCGTCAGTGAAGAAAACCCGATCAGACTCTTCAGTTCCGTGGTTACCACAAAGAAAACTCGTTGTTCTTGGGAAAACAACATGTCTGTCATGCAATAAACAAAGCTGTACTGCAGACGTCATATGACCAATACACGGCAGATGGCGTTTCTACTCGTTGTTAGTACTCCTACGGTACCATCTAGCATGAACATGAAATTGCATTAATGGGAAATCTCTGTAGGTCAGAATTGCATAAGTATGGGAATATCTACACAATATTTTGTTGTAATCCTCTCAGACATACAGCTGTATACTGTCTACAAAAAGGATGATAAATACATGTGCATAGTTTGCATATAAATTTTAAGCATCTTGCTTAAACACCCAGTTGTTAAAGAATTTCACAGGTCTTGTAGAACCTGAAAGTGCATCATTATCAGTATTAAAGCATACCATTTGAATCAGTCCTTCAGTTGAATCCATTTCATATCCTATGATACCTTTCATTCTCATAATATTGTTTTACCATTACCCTCCTTTCTAAGCCTTGGCCTTCCAAATGGTTTCTTTCAGTCAGGTTTTACTTAGGTGTTTCTTACTTCTCCATGCAAGTGAATAGAAATTTATTCTGTAATGTTGTGCATTTCAGGACATGTGCTTGTTGTGTCTGTCAGCGTGGCTGGGCTCGTAACCCTAGCTGCCATGACTCAGCCTGCACTAGCCCCCGAGGCAAAGCACACATTGCTGCAGTATGTGACAGGGAAGTATCTGCTGCCTGGAAACTGCAAGGTCAACTTCGAATGGGAGGATCCGCAGACTGTGGGGGAGACCATGACCTTCACTGTCAAGGTACATGTCTCTGTGATCTGAGTCTTGCCTCCTTCTTCTTCTTCTTTCCAATTCTGAAGTACATTGTTTCCCTCATAGTTTTTCAGCAGACTAGCCAAGAGAAGTTCTTTAGCAGGAAAACTTCTTAGAGGGAGATGCAAAAATTAGGTTCCTTTTTTTATAATCACCGTTATATTGACTTTAGACTCGTTATAGCTATGGGCTGGATGGCTGAGGAATCAGAGTTCAATTCCCAGTGGGGGCAAGAGGTGTTTCTCTTCTCCATAGCATCCAGACTGGCTCTGGGGCCCACCCAGCATCCTGTACAATGGGTTCCAGGGGCTCTTTTGCTTGAAGTAAAGTGGCCAGTGTGTGAAGCTGACCATACACATCCATCTCATACCAAAGTGAGGAATGGTGGAGCTATACGTCTGCTCCCCCAAATGCACAACTGACATTACTAGTGCCATGTGTATTCCCAAATAGACCTTAATAATCATCAGGAAGCAAGCTGATAAAATGAAAGAAAGTTGTAAAAATGCAATGAGGATGGAGCTACTAAGACTGTACAAATAAGGATGTCAATTATGGAGAAAGGGGAAAGGGTGCTGGCTTTGTGAATGGAGCATAAATACCAACATGCCATTTATCTATTCATGGTGATCATTTACCCTGTGGAAAAGAGCTTGTTTAATGTGGTGAATGCTACTGATCTTTCACTGCCAGTGCTAGGTGTTGTGAACATTTCTGTAATCTTTAAGTCCACTCACTTGGAGCATTCATCTTCTACAAGGGAGCCTGCCCAACATGATCTTGCTCCTGTATGTTCACCCCTGCCAGCATCCCCAGGGACTTTATTTTTGACAATTGTGAAGTAAATAATGCTAACATTAATAAAAAAGTTAACAGACGTAATTATTTTAAATTTTTGGTTTCTTATTTCCTGATTTTGGAACACATGCCCTGTTGTACCATGTTTAAATGTAATGTTCTCTTGATGATGGTGTACCACCTTGTGAACTGGTGAGCATTGGGGAGCTTTATGTTGCAAGTCTGAGGCAGAGGACCAAAATTAAGCATGTGAAAGAAGTCCACCTGTGCCAGCATATTCTGCAGTAGTGAATACTGTAGAAACCATGTGCCAGTTCAGTCAGAGTGTGAGTGATTTTCAGAAATGAGTGTTTGGGAAGTATGTACATTTATTACAGGCCTGACTCTGAAGTTGGCTAATTCTGAATGTGTATTTCAAGAAATGATGAGGTAATTAACAAAAATAGTTGATGATATAGACCTATGTTGCATATACAGACATCGCTTGTTTTCCTACAACAAATTAAGTTTGAATTCTGAAAATGTATCTGTATAAAGTAACTGTCATTCACTTCCTAACTGTGATTTAAACAGAAGCTCCTTTGATTTTCTGTGAGTGATGGCTTACCATTAGAGAACCCACGCTGTTTTCAATAAACACTATTACCTCACATCAAAGTCGGAGTGTGGATGGCAATAGGAAGTGAATATGTGTTTTACACATTTTCACATGAAACAGTGACATAGCAGATTCATTGACAATTTTATGGAAACAGTTACTGAGGGAAAAATTATGGAAACCTAGTTGTTTCAGTGAGACCTTACATTTGCACATGCAGTGACAGGGAGCAGGAAAGCTATAAAAGATTTCTTTAGTGATTGAATCATTAGCAGTAGTATCTGTCCACTATGATTGCTGGATTTCTTTTTGCCATCCTTATTGTAGAATAACTGAAATGGATATTTTTCTTACTTATTTTTTTATTCATAATCTCTTTGCTTGTGACTGCTCTTGTGGTTATTTGTAGTATCATTGTTGGACATTTTTATTTCAGTTCTACCAACGTAACGGACAGCCATATCCAATCTGTGACACAGACAACCTTTTTGTGGAAGTGACAGAAGGTGCACGTAGAGTTGCTACCTTGTCTGAGCTTGGAGGCACTGATCCCAGTGCTGCCAATGTTGCAGTTGTGAAGTTTACTGTTCGACATGCGGGGCAGTACAAGATATCTGTGATTATCGGCAGCTGCCACATTCACGGGAGTCCCTTTGTTAAGACGTTCCTTCCAGGCAAGTTATTTCTAAGAGGGGAAATGTGGGATCCATGGTAGGGTTCTTTAATGTTCTAAATTCATTGTTTGATGGCTCTGATACATTATTATTACACTAAGATATGTTTGTATGTATTTTTATAATACACTTTTCATTATTAGTATACCATTTGTGTTCCAGAACATTAAGTTCAAGCTAGCAGACTGTACCGTTCTTACCCAAGAGAAGAGCTCTGACTTGTTTAGTTTCAGTCTGATTCCTACTAGTAGTGGAACTGGATCCATAAGAATGTAGTTAGAAACATAGGGCATTGGTATTGTCACTCCATAGTCATATAGTTTTGAAGTTGTGGATTTGAATCCCAGAGAAGCTTGAGAATAATCATTCTCAGAATAGCAGAAAGAATGTATAACCTTGCTTTTTCGGTTCAGAATCCAATTTTTATAGTTCTCATATAATTTCAGCATTTTTAAATGAGGTGGATGCATCTATTCTCTTGAATTGTTTCTGTAACTACAAAACCAAAATCCATGATATAATTCATGGTTGTGACAAAGCTACTTCTTTTCATCTCCAGGCCTGTCTGGTGAATGAACCTCTCATTGTTGTAATACTGCTTACTTTTCTTGGTAGTTAGATTTCTATGGCTTTTATAAACATTGTTACTACTGATAGAAATTTATTTGCAAGAATAATGAAAGCTACCAACTGGAAGGGAAGTTGCTCTCTTTTTAGAAGCAGCAGTTTTCCTTGTAGAAATCCTGTTATAATGTTGAGTAATTCCAGATTCATTGGTAAATTTGGTAACAACAATTAAGTGGATTGATAAAAGTTTCAAATGTTGTAGAAAATATAGTATATTTTAATGATAAGCTTATTTTTATGATAATTTTAGTGATGGTGTGTTGACTGATTGTTTAACTGCATTCATAGAAGATCTTTCTTCATGATATTAGGTGTCAGCATTAGAAATTTTGTATGCAATAAAATTATTAGAAAGACTGTGAAAATGACCTGACAGAATCTTCAGTTGCTGACCTATAAATACACGTACACTTCTCTCTCCTCAGGGCCCCCCGACCCGAACAAGTCTGTATTTGTGCGTCACAGCTCAACAGTGGTTTGCACTGCAGGAATCCCTCACTCACTTGCTATTGAGCCACGAGATGAGTTCAATAATCTGTGCTTGTTCCACTCTGATGAAAATCCAACGGAGGGTTACAATGTGGCCATCACTCAGGTAACAGTTCGCCAGAAATTTACCTTCATGTGTTTGAATTTGTTTTATCAAATGGTAGATATGAATACTAATTGCTATGATTTCAATGACATATATGAAAATGATCATAAAAATTATACTATAGTTTTCAGAGATCTAGTGCTGTACAAAATTTCAGGTTCCTTGACACTGATGGTCATACAGCCAGTTTGTTTGCTTTTAAAAAAACACTTGTCAGATTTAATTAAAGTATTCTGATTTTTCCATCCCTTTCCCATTGTGATATAAATACTAACCAGAAAATTCAGAAAGGTCTAATACCAAATTCCACCATTGGACACGGTCATGATCCAGTTCCATCCACTTCCAATCCTCTTGCTTCCTTAAGATCAAGATAGATTTTAAAATTATCTGCTCATTTCATCTCAGATCTTAAAATTATCTGCTCATTTCATCTCAGTGCACTTTCCAAATTTTCCCATCAAAAGTTCAGTATTCATTTCTTGTCTCAATTTTATTATGCATTTGGCCATTTGTAACATCCATGAGTTCAGTACCCTAAGAATAGTAGGCAACCTATGCATACAAATCATGAAGCTCCTTCTTTCCCTTGACTTGGAGGATAATGTCAGCATGAAAGTTCCTGCAGTTTGTGTGACTGTACTTGTCTTAGTCTGATAAGTGCACATTAGCACAATATTTCCCTATGCATGATGCTCACAATCTTGCAATACTCTGGGGCAGGAGGTGTAATGTTTGAAATTGGATGAGGATGAAGTCATCCCTGTGCTTTAATACCATGCCATGAAGACATATGGGAAATTATGTGAGAGTACACTTCATTATTAAATCCATTTTTTCATAAAATATAATTATGTCATTTGGTTTTAAAAAAATGTTGCCTTTCTATGTACTTAGGATTAAGACTATCAGACCTTGTCAAGAAAAGTTGGGCTATCTTCCTTTCAGTTGTGTTACTACGAATTGACAAAATCCTTGTGTTAATATTCTGTGGCCACTACACGTATGTTTCTGGCACTGACTGAACCCTACATCAACTTACTCTAAAGCTGCAGTATATTAAAGGTTCCAGCTACATTTGTGAAGTACAATTGATATTCTGGGTTTTCAGACTTTATCCATCATCCTGGATAAAGTCCGAAAAACCCAATATCTCTGTGTGTTATACGCCATTGTCAGAATCCTATAGTCACTACAATTGATATTGTTACCATTGTTATATATATTATTATTACAGTAGGGTCTTATTGTACCTTCGATTCAGATATACCACATCTTTGGCCATGTCCCCCAGTAAGATTACATATGTTTCATGTTATACACGTTTCTGTGAAATTATTTGTTTAAAACATATTGTGATGTGTTGCGCTACAGTAATAGGCAGGTCAACCCCGCCCCCGCCAGCGGTGACATGGCAGCTCTGGCCACGGTAACGTAGCAGGTGAGTCAGCGCTCCCNCGCACTGTGACGTAGCACAGTTTCCCGCTGTTATGTGGCACCGCTTCCTACTGTGACATGGCATGCAACGCCGCTGTTGACACAGGCAACAGGCAACAGAGAACAGAATAAAAGCCGGCTGAGCAGCAAGTTGGAAGTTAGTGTGTGATCAGGAGTGACACAGTTGGAAGTCAGTCAGCAGTCAGTCAGTCAGTCAGCAGTGAGAAGTTAATGTGTAGCGGCCGCCGAAGACAGTTAAGTGTACCAGTCACCGAAGTGAGTTCGCAAGGCAGCAGCCTACGAGTGGAGTTAGTTATGAGTTAGCCAGCGGAGAGTTATGATTTGCCCAGGGAAGAGTATGCAGTCTAGTATTTGTAATACTGCAGATAGCAGTAGTTGTGAGATTGTAAACTTTGTGATTGTATGAGCGAGTGTGGAATAAAATTCACTATATCCAATACAGTGTGAAGTTATTTGTTGTGTTATACACCCAACACATGACAATATGATCATGTTGCAGCATCCTTTGCTATAGTGTGCTGATACAAAGGATGAAGTGAACAGGCTGTATGTTTCTGTTTTTTTCTAATCTTGGGATTATTTTGCTCAAAGAGCAATTAGCAGGTTGCAGGGCAGTTGGAGTACTCTTGCAAAAGCTAGGCTAGCAGGGGTCAAGCCTGTAATATCATGAGTCGATGCCCTGTAAGCCAAGAGGAAGAGGGGTAATCTTGCTCATATGTAAAATTATATATTAGTTACATGTATATTTATACTACATAAATGTTTACCTATAAATTCAGGTGGGAGGAAACCTTGCTTACTTATTATTAAAAATTAGAGACTTCAGTAATATTCATATGTGTGTCTGTAACCACTCTTGACTGTTTGATAAACATACACGTTTGGAAAACCATTGTTAATTGTTGAATATGCTGTATAAGTTTGGAAGTGTACACATAGCATGACAGTTTGTGTTTAATTATCTCAAAAACTGTAAGAATTAATGGGAAAAATATAATGGACATTCAGTATGTTTTTCTTTCTTCTCTACAACTTTTGTTTGAAACATTTTTCATTCTGATAAGTATTTAATGAGTTATGCTTAAGTTGCATGCATAAATACATGTGGCTCTTCATGTTAAATGTCTGTAATTTTTGTCTCATTTTAAACAATTGGAATGTGCTGACAGATTTTGGTTCAGCTCAGTATTGGGTTCCATGAAAATCTGTTTCGTGATTCCGGAGTTGTTTGATGCATTCAGCTAGATGGATGGAGCAATTTTACTGTGTTTTATGCAGCATTGCAATGTACCTGAAAGATGCATGCATGTTTTAAATCAAAGTTTTATGTTTTTGACTCCTCTTCTTCCTACCTAGTGGACAGTGGTTTTCTTCCTACAACATGAGTAAGGAGATCGGGGCCTTTTCACTGGGACAGAATGTATGGGGAACATTACCTTACCCTAGTTTAGAATTTCTGGTCCAACATGATGATGTTGCACACAGTGGACAATCTGCTGCACTATTTCTGCATGATGCCTTGGTTCACAGATTGGCAGCCCTGAACCTGTGCTATGCTCAGTGACTCTTGATTATGAGGAGACCAGCCATCACATCAATCTTCAAGTGCAGTTCCCCTCAGAAGGCTGTTTTCATGCTGCTGTCTCCTACAGGGGCATTGAGCTACATAATGGAGACTTTGATATCGTTGTACTGAGTGGTGAGTGCAAGTCACACTGGGAGAAACATTTGTACCACACATATCTTTTAGCTAATTGGAGAACTGTACAGTTGCCAGACAGATCAGTTTATTTCCACTACAGAGATTCATAACTAATCATTATTGTTATCATCATCTAAGGGGTTTTTGACTTATGAGTCGTCATGTTGCACCATTCACCTTTGGGTAACTTCCTTTTTATATTTGTCTCCAACTTATTTCTTTTGTTTCTGTTTCTTCTTATTCATGGTCCTTCGCTTCACTTTTGATCTACCAGTGGGTCATCTGACTATTCCAAATTCTGAAGCCACTACAGATATTGTCATTGTCGATTTAGTATATTATTATATATGAAGCCAATTTAATATTGGTTTCTGTGATATTTCCTCTAAACACCTGCTTCCAAGTCCTCTCTCTTATCTTACTTCAGTATCAAACATTGTTTTGATTGTTGACAGCAAGTGATGCTGCACTGGTGCAGAAAAATGTTGCCTCGAAGAACCACAACATCTGCTATGAAGCAAGGCTGGTGGGCATGCAAGGTGAACGACTTTCCAAGCCCAAAAAAGTGTTTTGTTATGTCTCACCAAAACAGCTGACTGTCAAAGAGTTCCTGCTCAAGTTCATACCAAAGAGACTTGTCACATTCCGGTTGTGCCCTTCTACAAAGGTGAGTGCATGGATTGAAATGATCTGAGGTACTAAACATACTTTCACTTCCTTGCCCTCTGATTCTTTCCATTACATTGCACTTATTCATCCTTGATGCATTTGATGCTACATAACATCTGCAGCTAATTCATTGTCATGAAATAGTCTACAGCTCACTCATTCATTCATTCATTCATGCATTCATTGACACTGAGGTTTCCAGATGAGCTGTAGTTTTCATCACTTCCTTGTTACGGATATTACATTCTATATCTGAACAGCCCAACTTGAATGTAATGTTGCGAAGAGTTTTCCCTGTACTTAATTAGTTAAGCATCATACCATGAACGCATATGGGGGATTGGAGGTATAGCTCCACCATTCTTTACCTTGGCACTAAATGGAGATCAGTGATCAGCTTAATGCCCCTACTGCTTTACCCAAGGGGAAAGAGCCACTGGTAGACATCGGATAGGAGGCTGGATGGGCCCGAGAGGTGGTCTGGATGCTAAGGAGAAGAAAAAATCCTTGCACTACCAGGAATTGCACCCAGACTCTCCAGCCCTTAGCCCATTGCTATACCAACTGAGTTATCCTGGCTCCACATTTTTGTTGTTAACACTCAAAATTTGGTTGCTTGTAGTCATTAGGAGGCAGGTTGAAAGAGAGCTGCGATTCTGTTGCAACACGCATTTTACTCTGTAGATGAATATGTTATTAAATTAGCAGAATATGATATTTGAGTTTGTATTTATGAATGTATCTGTAATACATAGTAGCATGCAAGAACTCAGTTGACATATTCATGTTACTATTGCATGTGTATGTACGATTATGTATATAAGACCTGTCATATGTCAATAGTTTGACTAAAAATTATGGATAAAATTGAATTGAATTGAAGAATTTTTTTGTTTCAGTTCCATTTCCAGAGCAGCAGCAATAACAACCAACACAATCACCCCTCATTCATTGTGGACGATGGCTGTCAGCCTAAAGTGGAGCTTATAGCTAAGGACAGGAATGTCATTGCAGCTACCTTCATTCACTTCTTGCTCAAAAACATAGGTAGCGTGGGATAGTTTTTTCCTACCACATTATTTTTAATCTCCAGTTTTGCATATTTGTCCTCAATTTCATGGCTTAAAAATTCTGCTGATACTGCAAAGCCTGGCTATCATAAGAACTGGTACCCAGCATGGGACCAATCCTACTCATATAATTGTTCATATGTAAAAAGTTTGTAATAAATACTGCATGATGAACATCAATGAGATTGGTGTTATATTCCAAACATTTTAAACTGCTGAACAATTTTTGTCATTGAAATTGCTGTTGAAAACGCACTTTAAAATAATCTTTAATCTAAAGAGGACACAAAACATATGGGGATAAGTCAGTATTATTGTCATCAGTTAATGTTTCAACAAAGGTGAGTTCTCTTATGACAAAGCTCTCTCCATTCTTCTAGATCCTCCCTTACCTTCTCTCATTTGTTTTCACCCTTTTGGTCTGTCCACCTTATCCCTGTGTATGAATGACAGCATCTAATTAAGAGTTGTTTCTAAGTAGATGAGTGTATGTATGTTCAAGAAAATCTTTTAACTCTGTAGTTCAGATATTGCTACCAATGATGGGAGTTGAATTATTCCTTGTCATTTTCAGATCCCAGTGATACTGTCTTCCAGACTCACTGGCATCTTGTCAGGTGATGAGCAGTGTCAGCATGGAGTGTATTTACAGTGTTTAAGGGACTTTCTGCCTCCATCCTCAGGAACTGACACAATTGAGGACATGATTTTTCTTTCAGAATTATTTGGTTTTCAGACTTTGACCATTGTCCAGTGTTCTATAAACTAGAAAACACAGTGTTTTGGAAGCTGGTTCTGTTTCATCCTCAGGTGTGGCAGTGGGGAAAGACACCTACTCTGTTCTGTCCCTTAGAAAGAGTTAATCTCAAACACTGGAGCTGTAAAGGGTAACCTAGGGCTGTGACTCAGGCATTTAGCTAGGTGTGTGTTGAACAGATTGGCTGCACTATCAGGGCAAGTTACACAAAACGTGCATGGCACATATATCTCTTTTTCAATAGGACTAGTTGGCAGTTGCAGAACACAGCATTGAATTAGGAGAATGACATCAAAGATACCACAGTACTGGCTAAAACTGCAGGGTAAATAGATTTTCTGGTGAAAGAGACCATTGAGATCTGGCTACATCTTGAGAACTGTAGAGATATGTGACTCACTCTAAAGTCAGTCCTGGAACCTGGCGACCAGTGTACTTCAACATAACAGAGCCAAGAATGAACAGCTATTAGGAGCCATGGGAAGAAGAGTTAAAGCAAGTGTCAACATCCACAGAATATTCCAGGTTAAGTAACACAAAGAGTGGTTAAGGTAAAATGTGTGCATGCCTGCCTACCTGTGTTCAAGGTTTTCCCAGTGGCCCACTCTCAGACAAGAAGACTGGTTTCCATGACTCACCAGCATTTATAGACAATGAACAGTCATGTCACCTGTCACGTCAGCCCATAATGATGGAGGCAGACACTCCATTTGCTGACATAGCAAATCACCTGATGACAATTAATTACACTCACACATCATGAAGACTTCCAATCTTATTTGTTCCCCATCTCTTTGTTACTGTATCACATCTGGAGTTGAAACAGTACCTTTATGTAGTGTAAGGTAAGACAGACTGAACCATATCCTCTCTTACAGGTGGATCAGAGACTTTCAAGGACAAGCAAGATTTCTTCTACCATGAGGTACGAAAGTATCACCAGAAACACTATCACGAAAAATTGCAGATGAAGGTGAACAGGGAGAAACTGCTTGAATCTGTGAGTGATTATCACACATTTATTTAAATTCATTTGTCCTGAGTACACTGCAGTTAACCATATGACACAGACTTCAGTGCCAGAAAAGGAATGAACCAGTCATGGATTCCATAGTAATTTGCTTGTCTCCAATCTAAAGCCAGTATCCATACATGCACAGAATAGCCTCCTCTACCATAATGCCAATCTAATTTTGTCAGAGTGTATCATATTATGCAAACAAGGCCCTAGGAACTATATTATGGCAATATATTTTTATTCTATATCTTTCACTTGGTTGTATAATATTTGTTTGCAGTTGTGAAGCCACCCTTCTTATTGTACTCTTTTCCATTTGCTACAACTCTGAGTTTGTTTTCTACAGACTTTCTGGTTCACATTGTTACCATCTCATTCCCTATTCTATCTGTGCTAGCTGTATCACTGCATTGTGGTGTGTACAACAGCCCCTTTTGGTTTCTATCTTCACTGATAGATTTGTGCAAAAGATGTATATGTCCATGTTGTTCAGTCTTGCATATTGGTCCTGCTGAAAATATCAGCTGAAAACCATGCACATAGGCAGAGTTGGAGAGAGTATGCAGGTAGTACATATTTGTGGGACAGAGAATGTATAACTTAAACCATTTCATATTCCTGTTGTTTGAATTTTAACCATCCTCCAACCACAAGATTTGTCCACTTGAGGTGTAGCGATAAATGTTGGGATTACCGTAAAAAATGAGCAGGAAAGAATATGGAAGGGAACACCAGAAAACTTTGTCAGAATAGCTGATCTCTGGGTCAGGATTGAAATTTGTAACCTCTTGAATATGAAGCATGAGTACCAGCCTCAACCTCTTTTGAGGGGAGAGTTGGAGTAGCTTAGACTGTGCATCATCGAATGGAGGGGTGATACTCGTAGGTGAATGATGAACTGGGAAGAATGTGGAAGGAAGGGATGAAGGTCTAATGAAGACACTTCCCCAGCATTTACCCAAAACGATTAAAGAAAACTGAAAGATCTCAGTCAGGACAGCAGGTGTCCCAACTGAGATTTAAACTGAACACCTCCAGAATATGAATTCAGAGTATTACTGCTATGCCAGCTTACCCCCTCACAGAGCCATGACGTTCAGTTGGTCCATATAGTGTTTCCATATTTTAATACCGGAATTTTAGAGAGAATGATTTATGTAAGATTTGAGGTTTCCATCCTGGTTACTATGAAGAAAGCAGTCTTCTGGGATGTGGACCCCCTTCTCTTCCTGCTCTTATACAGTTTATGACTCGACGTTACTCTGTGAGCTCATGCCGGTTCCTCACTTGTGGAGTTTCTTCTTTTTTCTTCTACCCTGAAGATGCAGGCGATACGTTCCTCTGAAATGTCGGTTAACAGAATATCTACACAGCACCACATCCCAGAAGACTGCTTTCTTCAGAATGATTTTATCTTTGCATTTTTTGTGTCCATGATTGCACCTGTATGTTATGTAATAATCCGCAATACTACAAAGCTGGTGTAGTGGTAATACCCAAGACTTCTCTTTGAAAGGGACCTAGCTTGAATGAGAGTGTTTTTGTGGTTTTCCTCAGTTTGTCCAGGAAAATATGGGATATGGGGCTACCACCTTGAAATCAGCCACAATGACCACCTCCTCCCTGATCCTAGTTTGCACACCATTTATGATCTCTTTCCACCTCTGTTATGTAACCTCTTAAATATCATTAAATAGCTATTAATTAACTTAAGAATCATTTCAAATTCTGCTTATCTGTCACACCTTTTTATACACTCTCAACTGAAACATATCTCTGAATCTCACCACATGCACATGAATGGTAAGAACTTCATGTCCAGAAAGGTTGTAAATCCCAAAAGTGTGGCAAACATTGAAATCTCAGATGTTTTCCTGAGAGCAAAATTGAAAATAACAGAAGCTTAAAAACTAAATTATCAAATTTTATGGTTAGACACAGATTGGTTCAAAAGGATGTTAGAATGAAACTGAACAATTAGTTAGAGCTGGAAGTTGAAACAATAAATATGCCAGTATCTGCGGCTACATATCAAGAATGGAATTGGAGACATGACTGAGTTTGTGTGTAAAGGTGTCCCTGTGCTTAGCAAATTAATTACTGTGCCATGAAGGCATGTGTGGGAGTGAATGTATAGATACACATTTTCTTGACCTTGGCATTAGCTGGAGATAAGTGGTCAGCTTCACACCCCAGCCACTTTACCCCCAGGGAAGGAGCCCATGGTACCCATTGGATAGGAGGTTGGGTGGATCCCAGAGCCGGTCTGGATGGTGTAGAGAAGAGAAAATTTTTGATCCTACTGGAACTTGAACTCTGACCTCTTGGTCGTCCAGCCCGTAGCCATTGTCTATACCAACTACAGTATCTGGCTCCTGAGTTTTATATATGTGTAAAAAAGTAAAAGTAAAGTAATGGTGTCCTTGTAACAGGCCGTGGAGGCCTGTAGGGTTGTGAGATGTTGAGGTTCCGACATTTTCTAGACAGTTGGCTCATAGATGGTGGTAAGGTTGTCAGCCTTATGCGCCAGCTGCCCTTTACCCCCAAGAATATACCTGGTACTCATTTCTGTTAGAGGCTGAGTTGATCCCAGGGCCATAGTGCACCTGGAAGGATGAGTTAAATTGAAAAAATCCACCTCATCAGGATTCAATCCTGTGACCTTCTGGCTTGTAGCATAGTGCCTCAACCAATTATGCTGCCACCTGTCCCCTTTTATGTATCTGTATGTTCATGAATTGAATATTGGAGGAAATAAAATGTAAAAGAACAAAAATGCTATGTTTTCAAGTACTTTCAATAAAAGGAAGTGAAATTTGACATGTTTAGTATAATGTACTCTGAAACTATGTGATGTAAAGTCTGAGAGTAATATAAAAGAATAAACAGCATATAGTCAGGAGTATTTTGCAGAAAATTCCCAAAGAGGTCCAGATATTTCACACCAGATTTACAGATGTGTCATCTTCTCAATGTTAAATTTCTCATCAACCAAAATAGAGAGTAACATATTTTATACCGGTGGATACACATTGCCTGAGTGCAGGTTTGCAGAACAAATCTAGATAACATACAAACTGGAAATAACAAATGTTTTCAAGTGTGTGTATATAAATTTTCCTTTCCAGTCTATGAAAGCAACAAAAGGCTTCTCAGTCAGTGACTGGTGTCGGAATTTTGAAATCACATTCCAAGGAGAGCAAGGTAAAGCGGCAATTATCTGGTCAATATATGCAATAAATGAAATTTANGACATGACTGAGTTTGTGTGTAAAGTTGTCCCTGTGCTTAGCAAATTAATTACTGTGCCATGAAGGCATATGTGGGAGTGAATGTATAGATACACATTTTCTTGACCTTGGCACTAGCTGGAGATAAGTGGTCAGCTTCACACCCCAGCCACTTTACCCCCAGGGAAGGAGCCCATTGTACCCATTGGATAGGAGGTTGGGTGGATCCCAGAGCCAGTCTTGATGGTGTAGAGAAGAGAAAATTCTTGATCCTACTGGAACTTGAACTCTGACCCCTTGGTCATCCAGCCCATAGCCATTGTCTATGCCAACTACAGTATCTGGCTCCTGAGTTTTTATATATATGTAAAAAAGTAAAAGTAAAGTAACGGTATCCTTGTAACAGGCCGTGGAGGCCTGTAGGGTTGTGAGATGTTGAGGTTCCGACATTTTCTAGACAGTTGGCTCATAGATGGTGGCAAGGTTGTCAGCCTTATGCGCCAGCTGCCCTTTACCCCCAAGAATATACCTGGTACTCATTTCTGTTAGAGGCTGAGTTGATCCCAGGGCCATAGTGCACCTGGAAGGATGAGTTAAATTGAAAAAATCCACCTCATCAGGATTCAATCCTGTGACCTTCTGGCTTGTAGCATAGTGCCTCAACCAACTATGCTGCCACCTGTCCCCTTTTATGTATCTGTATGTTCATGAATTGAATATTGGAGGAAATAAAATGTAAAAGAACAAAAATGCTATGTTTTCAAGTACTTTCAATAAAAGGAAGTGAAATTTGACATGTTTAGTATAATGTACTCTGAAACTATGTGATGTAAAGTCTGAGAGTAATATAAAAGAATAAACAGCNCGGCAATTATCTGGTCAATGTATGCAATAAATGAAATTTAACTTCTAAGTTGACTTAAGAACTGTTGTTTAACTTGTAATGTGTGTTAGGTTTGGACTGGGGAGGAGTGCGCAGGGAATGGTTTGAGTTGACATGTGCGGCATTGTTTGATGCTCGGAACAGCTTGTTCACGAGTTTCTCGGACAACAAGCAAGCTCTGGTGCACCCAAATCCACAGCGACCAGCCCACCTGAAGCTGAAGCATTATGAGTTTGCAGGAAAACTGGTCGGAAAGTGTCTGTATGAGTCAGCACTTGGAGGCTCATACCGTCAGCTGGTTCGTGCTAGGTTCACACGCTCATTCCTAGCACAGATCATTGGTCTTCGAGTTCATTACAAGGTGAGAAAGATGACCCTGTCCTTCTTGTATATTTCGGCTTCACCTGTATTTTGGGTCTATGACTTTCTCATATGTTTGTCCTTAATTTTGAAACATTCTTCTTGCAGTATTTTGAACAGGATGATCCAGATCTCTACCTGAGCAAGGTGAAGTACATCTTGGAGCATGATGTGGAAGAGATGGAACTGTACTTTGTGGAGGAAGAATATGACAAGTTTGGTCAAGTCATAAAGGTTAGTCAGAAGGCTGATCAAACAATCTTATTAACTTACTATAAATAAAGTAATTACCTAAGGTTATTAAACAAAAAAAAGTTTCTGAGAACAACCTATAACTCCTGTTAGTACTTGCATGACATGTAAAACTGTACTTTAGCATTTTATTCCTGGGTTTTAGCCTGAAAATACAGGTATGAACTACTTAACAGCTGAGAATGATGAAAATAATAACATGGGTCTTTTTTCAGCATTCTTCACTCAGTGTGTGGCCTGTTATTTAATAAGAGGATTCTATGGCCATAATGTAATGTAACATAATATAAGACTCTGTAGTTTGTATGGCCATGAGCAAGGTTGCAGGAATTGAAAGACCTAGTGGACAGTATTTTAATGCAAACACAAAGGGACATCGAGAAGCAACATTTCAAGGCAGAGTTCATCGTAAATTTTAATGTACGGGGTTAGGAGCTATAAATACCCTGTACTGCAGGACTTGCAGCCAAATTTGAAATTGGCGTTTTAACTAGTAATGGTATTAGTGTAATGTGTGTATCTTGGGAACTATTCATCATCATCATCATCATCATTTGCAGTATTAGGCCTTTTGAAACCTGTTACAGATATTAAAAGCAGACCTGTTCTGTCATTTAAGGGGTTATCACAAACTTATTTGAAATCCTGTCAGTGTATTCTTTCCAGTTTCATTATTTTGTTCATATTCTGTAAATTCTGATATTTTATAAATTCATAGTTCCCTCTTAATTTCTTTTGTGGCCCAAAGGTGTGTGTCCTGATGTGCTGAGGAAATACATTTCTGCTAACATCAGTCTTCTCTCAACAGTTCTTATTATCCATGATATATTATTTCAAGATAGTCTTGGTTTATCAGCTGTTATATAAATTTATATTCTTGTATGCCTGGAAACTAATGTTGGTTTGAAGATTTAATATATGATTCCTGCTTGTTCTGACAAAACTTAACAGTTCTTACATTCAAACTGGTTTCTCCTTAATAAAATAAAAAATTGATATTAATACTTCTACCATCTTATCCTGGGTTGGTCATTTACTGGTGATTTGTCCAGACTGTGTCATCTCGCTATGATGAGATAAAAATATTTCTCCTTCAAAGTACTCTTGATCACATAGTTTTGCCCTCTCACTAGATGGTGCATATAGCTGTCTTTCATAATTGGATGTATGTACAATAGGTTGTATGCTAGTCACATGTGATGGTCAGGTTCAGTATTCTGTATGTTTTGTTGTGTTGAGAAACAGGTTGTAGAGTTGGTGCAAGGAGGAGCTAAGGTGCGAGTCCAGAATAGTACCAAACATCAGTATCTGGATGCATTGGCTCAGTACAGGCTTGCCAACAGCTTCAAGGATGAAGTGGAGCACTTTCTCAAAGGACTCAATGAACTCATACCAGATAACTTGCTCAGCATATTTGATGAGAATGAACTAGAGGTGAGACAGCATTAACACTGATACAGCAGTAATGTTGGGCCTTACATTTATGGCTAGGTTTCACAGATGATCCTTTCCACTGAGGTTTCCACTCAAGATTTTGTGGGCAAATTGTATTTATCAGTGCATGTCATGTCCCTCTCATTTCAATTTTTTTTTGCACTAATAATACCATATAAAGAAGGTTACTATGAAGTTATTTCATTTGCTGCTACTTAATCTCTTTTGCATCCATATAATCTTCTCAGCACTCTCTTTTCCAGTACCTTCAATATCCATTTGTCATAAATGAGTCTTGTTCTTCTTCTCCTTGATCATTGCTTTTTAATTCTTCCTCCTAACAATACCCCTTGTTTTCAGCCTCGGTTACCTTAATCCCACTGATACAATGAATAAGTTCCAACTTCGTCACCACCATTTAGTTGCTTAGTTTTGTATTTTTGACATGTCATTCCCAGTGAAGCTTAATAAATATCAGCGTTTCTCTAGGGTCTTCAGTATTTATTCAGATAACATCCCCAGCCCATCTCAACTGACCAGATTTCGTTATATTGACAATAATCTGAGACATTAAAACTAACGTTATGATTACGGCTCTTTGTGATAACAGTATAATTAAATTTATAGCTGGTTACTAGCTCATTCATTCGTCATTCTTGAACCATGCTTGTTCTTGCAGCTGTTGCTGTGCGGGACAGGCGAGTACAGTGTGGCTGACTTCAGGGCCCATCATGTGGTGAATGGAAGTTCCTCAGAGTTCCGGCGCATTCTGGACTGGTTCTGGACTGCGGTGGCAAACTTCACGCAGGAAGAGATGGCTCGTCTGCTGCAGTTCACAACAGGCTGTTCACAGCTCCCACCAGGTGGCTTTGCAGAGCTCAGTCCACGCTTTCAAATCACAGCTGCACCCACATTTGGCAACCTGCCCACTGCTCACACTTGGTAAGTACTACAAATTCTGAATGGTGATCACCATGTGTCATGCAGATAGTTAAAATATGAAGGACAAGCACATCATAATTTTGGTACAGGACGTAGAAAGCCCATTGAAGCATGTGTCCAGTAACATTTATTAAGAATTCTAAAAATTCACCTTACTTATTTTAGACACTGGGCATGTTAAAAAAAGTAAAGCTATCCCTGTAACAGGCCATGAAGGCCCATAGGGTTGTGAGAAGTTGACGGTCCCACATTATCTAGACACTCGGCTCAAAGATGGCATGTTATACATAGCTCATAAAGAAAATATCCACATTTACTATTGTGACTTAACATGTATAGTAAAAGCAGAAAAGATAAGCACATGGATGAGACATATACGGGGTATAACTGAAAGGTGTAGTAAAACTTTAGGTACCAGTTCCACATAAACTTAAAATTAAACTCCATGGCTTCAGTCCGCAAGCGAACTATACTGATGGAGCGACCTCCGCTTGTCGGCAAGGTTAGTGCCAACTTTAACATGTAGAGGGTGTCACGTGGTCAGTGCAACAGATCCCTGCTGGCCTTTAATTTCGGTTTTCTAGACCAGTTCCACATACCAGAACAGAATATGTTCATATCAACATGTGTCTGGAAACATTTAATTTGTGAGTTATAACTGAAAGAGTACATTTATAATAAGGGCTGAAAATGTCCTCCAAGAGATTCAGTGCATGCCTAGACATGTCTCATCATGGATCGCTGCATCCATTCAAAGATGCTGGCATGATTGTGGATAGTCCAGCAGGCATCCACAGTGCGATGGCGAAGTGCCTCTTTGTCAACAGGAACTACATACATAAAAGTTTTTAGGTGTCTTCACAGGTAAAAATTCAGGGGACTCAAATATGGTGAGCAAGGAAGCCATGCTGTGGTTCCTCCTCTACCTACCGTTTGGTCATGATAGAAGTTATTGAGAACATCTTGCACAGCATGGCTTAAATGTGCTGGAACACCATCACACATGTACCATATTTGTGCTCTGACTTCCAATGGTACATCTTCCAATAGCTTTGGCAGATTGGATAACAGGAAATCTTGGTAGTGGTTGTCTATTAGCTGATGTGGTGAAACATACAGGCCTACCAATCAAAGACCAACATCAGAGTTGATAATAACCATTGATGGTGGAGGATGTGTATGTATGTATATGACGAGTCCTGTATCAATGTTNAATGTTTCCAGACACATGCTGATATGGACATTTTTTCTCATTTGGTATGTGGAACTTGGGGTCAGAATTTTCTTACACCTTTCACTTACACTCTGTATAGATACATACAACACAGCATTTGAAATTTCCACTGTACTATAGATCAGATGCCAGCACAGACACGAATTCAGATGATAATACATCAGCAGCTGTTTTAGAAGCACAGCATATGACACTGGTACACAAGTAAATAGACAAAAGTCTCTCAGTTAAATAAGTAGCCTAATGTTTTTGCTCAGCAGCTGATTATGCTGGTGAATTAACTCAGTGGATCACGTAACTGTTTGATTCAGGAGCTGTCTCTCAATTTGGCACTGGAATTTGTGTTTTGTATTTTATGGTATCACTGTCTTATGTGTGCAATGTTTTATTTGTCTTTCAGAAATGCTGAGGACAAATTGCTAGAACAGAATTGATATTGTGTTTTTAGTGAAATTTGTTAAGAATGCCATTAATGAACTGATATGTGTTGTTACGGGATTTTTTCTTAATTGTGGCTTCTAAATATGTGTGCATTTCATATGACTGGCTAGGTAAGTAAGTAAGTAAAGGTATCACTGTAACAGACTGTGGAGGCCCATAGGGTTGTGAGATGTTGAGGTTCCCACATTTTCTAGACAGTCAGCTCATAGATGGTGGCAAGGTTGTCAGCCCTATGTGCCAGCTGCCCTTTACCCCCAAGAATATTCCTGATAGAGACTGAGTCAACCCCAGGGCTGTAGTGCAACTGGAAGGATTAGGTCAATTGAAAAAATCCAGTGACCTTACCGGGACTTGAAGCCGTGATGTTCCGGCTTGCAGCAAAGTGCCTCAACCAGCTACACTTCCGCATACCCCATGAATGGCTGGGTGTATTCATATGTCTATCTCATTATCATTATGAACTATCATCACATTGTTCTCTATACGAGCATATAACATACAGAAAGTTCCTAAACTAGGTCAAAAAAGAAATGTTGGCTTAAGTTACTCACTTTTGGTTGCCATCTTCAAAATAGTCTCCTTGGAAATGTATACAGCGATCCCATCGTTTTTCCCACACTTCAAAAGCATCATGGAAGTCAGTTTCCTTAATGCTGTCAAGTACCGCTTTCAATTCTATTTGGATGTCAGACACTGTTTCAAAACGTCATCCCATCAGTTTCATTTTCAGTTTGGGGAACAAAGTAAAATCACAAGGGCTGAGTCCAGGGAGTAGGAAGAATGGAAATGGTAATCATGTTGTTGTTAGTCACAAACTCTATGGTTTTCAGGGATGTATGGGCTGGCTCTTGGTCATGATGCTGGACCCAGTTGTTGCACCGAGTTCTGGTCTTTTTTATCACACATCTTCTCTCAAGCATCTCAAAATGTCACAGTCAAAGTCAGAGTTGACAGTAGTGTTAGGAGGAACAAATTCATGGTGAACAGTCCCCATCACATCAAAAACAAAAAACAATGAACTCTGGACCTGCCACGCCTTTTTAGCTCTTTGTAGTGTGGGCTCTTCCACTGTGATGATTGTTGCTTTGTTTCTGGATCATCACTGTAAATCCAACTTTCGCCACCCATTATGATTGTAGAGATAAAAGTTGGGTCATTGTTAGCCATCTATCGTAGCTCAAGACATGTTTACATGTTACTGCTTTTTATCATTTGTCAAGAGTAGGGCAGCAAACTTTGCAGCAATGCAGTACATGTTCAAATTTTCATTAAGATCTCCTGGAAAACTGCATAAGTGATCCCAGCTGTGTCTGTGAGCCCATGGATTGTTTGGCAGTGGTCTTCATGAATGAGTTCTCAAATTTTTTCAACATTTTCTGTTATTTTGCTGGTGCTTGGTCGCCCTGGACTTTCATCATTTTCAACTGACACCTGACCGGCCTTGAAATATAAATGCCATTCAAAACTGCTGTCCAGATTAAAGAATGTTCTCCAAAAGCCTCACAAAGCATTTCAAGGGTTTTGGTAGCAGATTTACCAAGCTTCACACAAAACTTGATGCAGACACTTTGCTCAATTTTGCCATCCATTGCAGACAAAACTAAACACAAAGTCAAAAAAGAACTCGTGGATAAGGAGTGCGCATTCACAGTGCGGTATCATATGGCAGACTGATGCAGTACGCTTTTGGAAGTGTGACCTTGGCCTCCCCTCTCATCTTCTTTCACCAAGGCAGTTACAAAGGCTGCACCATACCTCAAGCGGTTAGTTGCTGGCTTCCCACTGCGGCGGCCCGGGTTCAGTCCTGGGTCTGGTCAAGCGGGATTTGTGGTGGACAGAGTGGTGCTGGGGCAGGTTTTCTCCGAGTACGTTGATTTCCCCTGCCAATCTTCATTCCACCAAATTCTCCATCATCATAATCACCCGGGGGCAGGTGACAGTCGGGCAATCAGTGGCCGCCATTCTGAGTGGACCCATTTGGACTCCACCCCCCACTAAGCGAATTTAAAAAAAAGCCGTTACAAAAATAACAGTCCAGGAAATTTTTGATAGAACCTATATTCCATCACTGCAATAAGGGATGAATTACATACATAATGTATGAAGATTTCTGGTAAAGAGTTTGCACCCATTCCAATCCCTTCAATTTATTTGTAATGTGTATTTTAATGTTCTTAGTATTTTTTATTTGTTATGTTTTCCAAATTATGTATTTCATTGCTTTGTATGTAACTATAATGTCATAATATTTGAAACACCATTTTTGAGGTTTCATGAACTGAGATACATATTGCTAACATCAAATGAGCAAGACCATGTGTTTGTGTTATATGAATTTTTATCACCTGAGAGTAATATATATCTTGTGTTGAAATTACTGAAGAATTATTAGTGTTCTGTGAGGAGCCAGGATAGTGCAGTCAGTATAGTGATTGGCTACGGGCTGGGCTGCAACTGAAGGTTGTTTACAGGTTGTTGCCTAGAAACGCTCTGGCAATCCACGGTACAGTACTTAAAACCTTGCACATAGCATTATGCACACTGTATTAATTTATAGTGACATTCAAAATGTCAGAGCATGAGTCCATGATATAATTATATAATAATAAATGTTAATTTGTTGTCTTGACAGCTCTCCCTAATTTGTTCAGGAAGTTAATTCATCAGGTTTCAGTCACATTTTCGGTTAACTCACATACTCGTTTTACTTCTCAGTGAATAGGAACAACATTCACATTAACATGATATGGAACATCTCCTGCATTTGTGTTTCAGTTTCAACCAGCTGTGTCTGCCTGACTATGACAGCTATGAACATTTTGAACGGGCATTACTTCTTGCAATCAGTGAAGGGACCGAAGGCTTTGGAATGATATGAGATTCATATAGCTCAGTATATAGTGTAAGTACATTCAGAGGTAGGAGCTAGTTGCAGAGTTTCTTGAAAATATGGACACATTATTACCACTTGTCCTCTTTATCTTTATGCACACCAGAATGTACAGCTGGCTGTACTTACGGCCTTCGTAAGTGCACAATGCAATGAACATAGCAATTTATATTACATACTTGTATCTTCTCACATGTGGGATGAATTTCATTAAAGGAATATTGCCCTGAACTGCAATTATAGAGGGCTGTTGTAACCTGGCCATCCTCACCATTGTGTGCACCCCATGTTTGTTTATTTGTTCCATGCCATGTGGCTGTCAAGAGAAACATGATGATTAATGGACCACACTTTCCCTAAATTCAATGTTATTTGTCTAGGTTACACTGAAACCATTAAATGTTTGTCATTATTGTATTTCAGTTTTATGTGTAATTTAGAATGTGGTGCAACAGTGCATTATTTTGTCAATGTGTGACACATAACTTGATACTTCATATTTCTACAGTAACATGAATGAAACTCTGGAGTTAATTTAATCTCAGTTGTATCCTGAACAGTCATATGTATCAGGTTCAAACTACGAGGGGCAGTCAAAAGTTCCCGGAATGGTGGTATAGCACTCTAATGGTAGGACATACAACAGCACTTACCTAATCACCTTCAAAGTAGGACCCTTGCGCTCACACACACACACACACACACACACACACATGCTCCATCGATTCTGCCATTGTTGGAAGCAGTGGTGGAAGGCTTCTTTTGGAATCTTCTGGAGCTCAGCCATTGCATTCGATTTGATGTCCTCCATGGTTTTGAAACGTGTCCCCTTGAGGCCCATTTTCAGAGTAGGGAACAGCCAAAAGTCACTCAGAGCGAGATCCAGAGAGTACGGTGGTTGAGTGATGACAGGAATGTTTTTCTCAGCGAGGAATTGCTGCACGACAAGCAATCTGTGGCTTGGTTCATTATCATGATGCAGAAACCACTGTCCCTGCCACTTTTTGCGCCACTTCCTCCAAACCGCATCGTGCAACCTCTGCAAAACTTGCACGTAGAAATGGCCAGTAACAGTCTGTCCAGGCGGTATGAACTCATGGTGCACCAAACCGTCGATGTCAAAGAATACAATGAGGATCACTTTGTCTTTGGATCTGACAAGGTGTGATTTCTTGGCCAGGGAGACGATGCTGTGTGCCACTCCGATGACTGCATCTTCGTCTCCGGGTTGTAGGCAAACACCAGTGACGATCTTTTTGAGAAACGTTGGGTCCTGCGTACTTTTGTCAAACAGATCGCCAGCGACCATCGTGTGACATTCCATCTGATCTGTGGTCAGCTGCCTCGGAACAAACTTTGCACTGACATGTCTAATCTTCAAATCTTCAGACAAAATGGCATGAATGGATCCGTGAGAGATACCAACTTCTTGCTCCAACTCTGCAATGGTCATTCTTCGAACACATCGAATCAGTTGTCGCACTTTTACAATCATTTCTTTGGTTCTGGATGTCAAAGGTCTCCTGCTGCACTGGTCATCCTCTAACGTCTCCTGCCCATTCTTAAACCGGGAAAACCAGTCATAAACTGTGGATTTCTTCAGTGCAGTATCACCGTAAACTTGCTGCAGGGCTGATTGTGTCTCTGAAGCAGTTTTTCCCAATTTGCACATGAACTTGATGTTCGCACACTGTTTGAACTGCGACATTGCACCGAATGACCAACACTTACATCTAATTCAAACAGAACAGTAACAACACTGCACACTGAAACCTGTCCAGACATGTTGTGCCTGCGAGCAGACATGCTGAGCTCCCCACCACAACATTGCGTGCGCTATCTTATCGCTCGTTCTCCATCTGCAGGGGAATTCCGGGAACTTTTTGACTGCCCTGTGTATGTCAGCTACAGTATGTTGCAACTGTTGTGTGTGGAACTTCATTGTCACAGCAACTGTGGAATGTATATTAGTGGTTTGTCATACAGTATCAGTATTTAGTGTATTCTGATATATTTCTGTCTTGTATTCAACCTGATGTTGGTTGCTGTTGCCACTGTCAGAATTTTCTGCTGTGATAGGATCACATACTACCTGGAAGTATCCCCCTGTCAGTGACGTTAGCACCTCACACAGAAATCTGCTGCACAGCAGATAATAATGAGAGATGCAGTGATGAACCTTTAATGGTTTGGAACATGTATGTATATGTAAATAAAATTAAATCTAGTGAAAATGTAAAGGCAAGTTGATCTATTAATCATTGTGTTTTTGTCCATATTATGGTTGTTCACACCACATAGATGGATTTTTTCACCTTATCTGGCATACCATGAAAACTAGTTCAGAAAATATTTACAGCTCATTACAGCATGTAATTTTCTCTTTGAATTAAAACTTATCTGGTATTTCTGCACAGTGTCAGTTCTCTGTGGTGTGTTGACATTATTGTTCAATGGGTGTAGAAGCTTAATATGTTAATGTTGTATCACACTGCAGAGAAGCATATTAAGACTTTTTCATATGAAATCCATAAGAGGTTTTGTTATTATTAAGGCTGTTACTTACATCATGGTGCTACAGAAGAGTAGTATCTCTTGAGAGTCTTATAGTACTTTTTTAAATATAGCATTAATTCAGAGCTAAGTGTGTTTTGCAAAGAAGTCAAATAAAAAGACAACAGTATAGAATTATTTACATATCTTAGGATCTTTTCTAGTTATTTTATCTGTAATTTTTCAGTTTAGTTTTAACCATTTACTATTTATTATGTTATGAGACTACACTTCTGATTGTACTCATGTTTGCCCTATTAATCTTTTAATTCTATATTCTTTTAAGTCAGCAGCTTACTCTCATCACAGTTCTTGGTGTGTCTGCATGTTGTGCCAGCATGTGTCTTATCTGATTTCATACATTACTTCACCTTCAAATTGCTCTATAATATGCATGAATCTAGTTACTAATTAATTGGAACTAAAGCTGTATGCCACATTGAAAGGCAAATTAGAGGTTACCTACAGTTGGATATGGCAGAAAATTGTAATGTAAATTTGTAAATTTTGCTGTCTAGTAGTAACGGATTCATACCTGAATGTTGATGTACCAAGACCTCTGTTATTGCGGGATACAAGTATGTAAATGTTTTCAATTCTGTTTCCATGTATGATGGAAATGAAACAGATATTAAAATACACTGAGCTTTATCAAACTTTTTGGACTACAGAAATGAAAATCTGGCACTGGATTTTTAAGTTCATAGATATTGCATACACAATTTCCTAGTCACTATATGCAGATTATTAGACAATAGTAGCAGAAAGAAGTCTTACTGGATCATTAATCTGTATTTTATGCATATACTGAAATTACATGTAATCAATAGGAATGGGTAGCAGCCAGTGAAGTCTGCTGTGATCTTTTGTAGTGAGAACGAATGATCTTAGTTTCATGGGATTAGTTTGGTAGTTCACTGGTCCGTAGCATCCAATTTTAGTAAAGTTTGGACACCATGTTCATGTTCAGTGAAAGCATAAATGTAGCCATGTAACGGCTGAATTGTGAGCAGTGAATTGCTTTATACCTGTGATGTGCATCAGAGCTTCAGCAGTCAGTGTTTTAAGATGCCAGATCTCTTGTAGAACAGACGAGTTTTTGCAGATTATAGTGATTAATCTGTATGTTATATGCTGCTGACAAAAATAGATTTGAAGGTAATTATATATTTAAATAAAGATATTTGTCTGTAAAATAAGATAATAATATACTAAGATAATAATCTTAGTATACAGAGAATGCAAATTAAGATGTATTTGGTGCTGTTGAAATATGAGTTACTTTCTTATTGGTGACTTGGCATTTCTTGGCAGGTCCCAGATCTATGCTCAAGCCTGTAGACAGTTGCTTCAAACTGTCTGAACACAACTGCCTCAACCTAAAACTTGTGTTGCCCCAGCATTTGGAGTTTCTTATGTTTGATTCAATATCTGTCCATTATATTTATTAGTACAATTAAAAATAATTTATTAAAATTCTTGTCTGTGCCTCACATTCTTTTGATCCAGCTTAATAAGATTCATGTCTGATTTTTGGTAGCTTGTATATACAATTTCATTACGGTCTGGGAGATGTTCCCTAGTGATATATTGTTGCTGCTACTCTTATCAGCATGGCCGTTTTGAGGGATTTAGTTATTCTTGTGGAATAACCATGGTTCCATACAAGTAATTTATTTGTGAGGGGCATGTGCATGCACCTAATTCTTGTTTCTTAAAACCAAATTATTTATTCTGCTGGCCAGAAAAGAACCCATTGTAATATAGTGTATTCATTTGAAGGATTTAGTTGTTCTTGTGGAATGACAGATGGCCCTTACAAATAACCTATCTGTGAGGGGCATGTGCATGCTCCTAGTGCGTGTTTTTTTTTATCAAATGATTTCTTCTGCTGGCCAGAAAAGAATACATTCTAATATATGTAGCGTGTTCATTCAAGACACATTTAGAGCAAGTACTGTAACTATATTCAGTAGATAACCAGTTTTGTCATGGGTGTTTCCTAAACCCTTGGCTGATAGTTATTTATATTATTGTACTAAAATTTGATTTGTTTCTGCCATTAAGGAAGGCAGATATGTCATACAACTGAAAACAGAGCGGCTCTAGAGCCATACTGAATTTCAGTCTATTTTAAGTACTTAGTATACTGAATAGTTGTACAGTATGGTTATTGTTTAACTGATTCGCATGACTCAGACTTTAGGTATTAGTCTTGTCCTGCGTCTGTGAGGAAACTTTCTAAATTATGACTGTGTCACAATGTTCTGATATTTTTGAGGCAGTTACTGTCTCCAAGTTCTGCCCTGAAGACAAGGCTGCAAGCTGCGTCAGGACATCCTGAAGCAACATAATATCACAATTGACTAAAATATATATATACATTTTCTGGTAGTAGAATATTTAGAGATAAATACATTGACTTCATTTGGAGTTATAGTTTCTCCATGAAGTATTGTTAGTGTTTGGAAGTACAGTGAGACCCATATTTAATATTCCTCAGTTTATGATTTTCTCTCCTTTAACATTCAGTTTCACTGATCTCAAGTCAATAAATTCAGTGTTAAATTGCCTCCATTTAAGATTTTTCTCAGTTTAATATCCAAATCAAATATCCCCCACCAAAACCTTAAATAGGATTTCACTGTATTTTTAACTATCTTTTGTCATTCACATAAGCTGTATACTGTAAATATATTACTTATACTCAAATCATATGACTTCTTCATAATAAACCGCAGAACTTCTGTTAAAAAATACACCTTATGTGTGCAGTAGAGTTTTCAAATAAAATATTTTGTTTATAATATTTCCTTACAGGATGTATAAATGTGTATGCCTCAGAATATATGCAGCCACCTAGAGGGGAAGTCTCTATATAAATGTAGATTTGTGAGGCACATTAAGGGATGACTATGTGGAAAAGTTTTGTGACAAATAATTGGAAATCATAAATACTCTTCTGTATAATACAGCTATCCTATTTGATATCCAAAGTTGCCCATTGCTGAACAAAATTAATATATAAATGACCTTCCATTTGAATATGATATCCATTGTTCCATCTGCAATGTGCCAGTGCATTTGTAGAACTGTGGTAGGCTCTTGTG